TAGCATGCCGAACCTTGAGGCCATTCGGCTGGAATTTTCGCCGCCTAATACCACAAGCGTGCTCCAGCCAATGGATCAAGGTGTGATCCGAAACATCAAGGCACACTACCGTGCCTGCCTGCTCAGCCGCACCGTCTTGTGCCTTGACAATGGGAAGGCCTACAAGGTCGATATTCTGGCCGCCATCCACATGTTAGCCGAAGCTTGGAAGGCGGTGAAGCCAGATACCATCGCGCATTGCTTTAGGCATGCCGGGTTCGCTGCTGCTGAAGAGCCTGAGGCGGATGACCCGGACGGCACCGATGGCGGGGAGGACCTAATGCGCGACCTGCGCAGCGTAGGAGTGAATCTACCTGCCACAATGACATTTAAAGACTTCACTCGTTCGGACGACGACATTGTTTCGTGCGCAGAGGCCACTGACAACGAAATTCTTCGCCAGGTTGTCCCGGAGCTGGAGAGCGGCTCGGATGACAACAACGACGACCGCCCGCAGCCGTCGGTGGCGGAGATCGCCAACGCTGACAATTTTGTCGAGCGTTTACGGCGACGATGTCACCTTGTCGCAAATACAGGCAAACCAAATTGCCTCCAAGTGTAGTTTGAGGCAAGGCAGCATCAAGGACTTTTTTAAACCTGCCTGATGCAATAAACTTCAGATTTTTGGCAAAAACGAATTTTTCGGACTGTTCGATTTTTCGTACTTTTTTTCGGTCCCCGCCAGGTCCGAAAAATCGGTCGGCGACTGTAAATAAAAATCAAGGACATGTGGTTATGATAACAGGCTGGCTGTTAGATACTCAATCTTGAGTTTATGCAGGTTCACCGATGGCCTCACCAAACATGTCACCATTCCTATATATCAAAAAGACCTCAACAACCTCTCGCACGTTCCTATCTTTCAGCCTCAACAACACTGACAATGATCTCTCGCGCGGTTCTATCTTTTTGCCATAAAGAGCTCAGGCTGTTATCAGAAAAGTACCTTTGGTTGCAATGAAATCGTGAAAAAAATCAGGTCAGACAATGGCCTACCGTTCTCTTCCCAAGAGTTTGCAGCATTTGCAGCATCTTATGGCTTCAACCATGCGAACAGTTGCCCACACTACGCTCAGTTAAATGGAGAGGCAGAGGATGGTACGAACAGCCAAGGACCTGTTCCGCAAGTCCAAGGATCCTTATCTAGCTCTTCTCAGCTATAAAGACACTCCAGGAGTTGACGGCTTTAGTCCGCCCCAGCTGTTGATGGGAACATCAAGTGGGAACCAGAGTCCCGAAACAAAACTCCCACCTCCGTCCCACCTGGCCACCTAAGAAAGATGTCAAGAACAATGCGGCTTACAAGTGTAAGCAGACCAACGACTACAATAGGCATCAAGGAGCTTGAGATCTGCCACCTCTCCAGACAGGTCAGCGTGTGTGGGTGCACCTTCACCGAGTGCACACGGCCCTCAGCGCAGGGCAAAGGCCAAGACTCTATGTGATTGAAACAGACCAAGGTGGTGTTGTACAGCGCAACCGCTGTCACCTTGGCGCCATTCGTGCCTTCTGCCTCCAGTGAGGAATCACTGCCGACAGCTACCCATCAACCATCACTGCCAGAGCAAGAACCCCTTCAGAAACCTCTGCCTGCCAACAATGTGGAACCTACAGTGCCCCACGGGCAGCCTTCGCAACATTCCGCTGCAGCCAGGGCCCTTAGTGATGGTTTCAAATGAACACTTTATGGCCGACGTGTTGTTCCACCGCACCGTTTGAATTTGTAAAATATTTCGGTGTCTGGCAATCTCCATCCTTCCATTGAACCTTCAAGATCTTTCGAGGAGGGGAGACGTAGAGGTAACCATAATTAAGCTCTTTTATTAGGCCACCTGTGCAGCATGGCGCCCTCTGTTACTTGCATGCCTATGAGTCTATATATGTTCGTGCCCAATAAAGAGTAAAGTTGCAGTTTCATCCGAGCCAGCAACAAGTATGCCTCGGTCTCTGCGTGTCTGAGCTCTAACGGCACTCACCATTCGACACACACTTTACTTTCTTCACACGCACACTGCAATTATTACAATACACCCAAGGATCAGTACACTTAACATTCTTTACACCTTCCTTGGCTTCATTACCTACTGGCTTTCATTAATGTTATGTCAAAAAATATCCCCGCGTATCCACGAGTCTGGTAAACCGTGAATAATTCGTAGATTTTGTCTACTCGATCATCAAATATGAACGTGACAGACACGAGGTGGTACAGTACATACAGTACAGCTTCTAAAACTCTCACCTCTGGGTTGGCACAATGCTGGCCTCTCACTTCGGCTGCTAAAGCCCTAAGCTCTGGGTCGGCTAGACTGCGAGCCCGCGCTGCAGCTGCATAGCGAGCCTTTCTCTCCGGCGCGTCTTCATTCATATTATCAAAGCACACTGACTGATGACTGTTGAAATAAAGAAAGTCCGCTGAGAAAGCTGTTTGTAGTTATAGCCCTCTACTGGTCTCAAATCAAACTAGAGCACGTGTAGGAGTGGAGCGAGTGCTGCAGAGCTATCTAGTAGTCTCCATTCACACTTTAAGCGAGAGCACAGCTGCCAGGGTTGCCACTGATTTTCAAGTGAAATTCGCCAAACTAGTAGCAAAATGTCGCCAAAAGTTGCCATTTTGCTTGAAATTTCGCCAGAAAAGTCACCATTTTATATAAGTATACTGTGCCTAGTTATAAAAATCACTAATTGCGTATAGCCCAGTTGAGTACAGTGCCATTCATGACCCCTAAATTATAATGACATTTTTTAATGATAGTCCCTTTACCCACTTCACCATGGGAGGGCTTAGTGGTCTTGGATTCCCAACACCAGCGTCACCTTGGGAGCACTGAGAAAGGATATGCATGCACCAGCAGCATCCCTAAATGCTAACGCGTCACATCAAAAGTTTCTGGTCGTTTCAGTTGTAGCGAATACAGGGTGAAGCAGTCAGTATTACAAGAGAAGGTCAGCGTGCATAGCCTTCTTCCAGATTTAGAGAATTTCATTTCAGTGGAAGCATGTGTCCAATAATCAAATAACAAAACAACGGAAATGCCTTTGTAACTATTGCGCAACCATCACAATGCACACACCTCACTTTCTAGAAGTGTGGTCGTGCTTACACAACACATTCGCCTCAGTGTAGTTTCTGAAAGCTGTGCAATGAAGCCGACTTTTTCGACGGCTCGAAAAGTATGTTAATATCAAATTTACTCTTAATATCATATTACGGAAACTACATAGCAAATTAAGGCGAACTACAGCAGTGAAGCAGTCGACAAACTATTCCGGACAGTTGGAGCTGGGCAGCTTCAGAAGGGCAGCATCACCTAGCAGCTTCAGAAGCAAAATATTATAGAAGCTTATTAAAGCTATAAACTTAATATACCACCACCACCTTGCGGCACGTGAACCTGTTTGCTGACAAATTTTGCTGGGAGACTGACCAGTGCGTGCGCCAGTTCTCCCAGGATTTAGGTGAATCCGAGGAGATACACATGAGAAACAGGATGGATGTACTGGATTGTGTGTAAAGTGCAACTTCTAAGTGATGGCGCTATAACTGCAAAAAATAGACAAAATATTGTTGCCCATTTGTTGTGAGGCGACTGAGTATAGAATGTAAAACTCAGTCGAGAACTAAGTCGAATACAGTGCAGTCCACTTATAACGATATCGAGAAAACCTAAAAATATGATCGTTATAACCGGTGATCGTTATATCTGGACTGCCGCCAAAAAATCGTCGCCGGACGTACCTTTTGTAGCTCCAGGCTTCATTTCGCTATTTTCACCAATTAATAAATATTGTAGATAGTAGGATGTCAAAAACAAGACTTTATTTCTTACTCCGAAGAACGCATCACGGGTTCGCTGAGGAAGAGAGACTGACCGACGGCGGGGTGGGAGCAGTGGGAGGAAGAAAGCACAGCCAGAGGTACACAGCCGGAATGCCAACGAGGCCCCGCCCCGATACCGCCGCGCCGCTTTGCTTTTCGCTTTTTTTATTTTCTCTCTCTTTCCCGCTTTCGTTCGGCAATCTACGAGTAGCTTGCCGTTGTAGAAGGCGGGAAGCCGCGGAGCGCGGCACTTTGCTTTTCGCATTTTTTTTTTAAAATTCTCTCAGCCTCTCCGCGGTCGACGCGCGGCGAGGCGCAAAACGTGACACAGCTGGCGCCATCTGTAGCGCGTCGCGCCAACTCGCGATGCTCTCCTCGGCTTTTTGAACGGCCGGGACGCGCTGCCGGCGCTGTGCTGCAGTGGCGGCAGATACGTACTCGCCTACGCTAACTTTTCGTCTTGTCTCGGCATAGTTCGTTTCAGAGGAACTTATCAATCTAAATGTTACGATTATTCTGAATGAAACATGCCGTCCACGGCAAACTTTTCATCGTTGTATCCGATATGCGGTGGATAACATATCGTTATATATGGTTTTTTTCCCCATAGCCCCAATGCATAAAATGAGACTGTTAAGTCGACCCAGCGATATAACCGATATATCGTTATATGTGGTATCGTTATAAGTGGACTGCACTGTATCGCCGAAAATTCGCCATGTCGCCATTACTAATTTTAGGTGGCCACGGGCGTCTCAAACTTGCCGATTTGGCGAAAAGTAGGAACCAGTGGTAAGCCTGACAACTGCACCTCCAGTGTGTGCTCCGAGCACTAGTGTCTATGGCAACGGGGGGACAAGCTTTGACCATAAGGAGCTTTGTCCTTAAATATTGAGCCCTTCAAAATTTTCTTCCTCATATCTTGTGTGTGTATCTCAACCACTTCATGCCCAAGTACCTCCTATCAGATCGTCCTATCACAGCATCTCTGCCGAGCTATGACTAATGCGAACATCGGCCACTGTGAGTAGCTCTTCGGTTACCAGTTGTGGACTTCTGTCGATCGCTAGCGTAAACGTTGCCTTAGGGAGCATGCTAAATGAAGTGCCGAGGACTGCCGACCCTCCGTGCTCCCACTCACCTCCGAGGTGGTAGCAGATGCTGCCAGGTTGAGGCTGCGCTCGATGCGCTCGGCGACACTTTCTCCCGCCCTGCTCTGTGGTGCGCTGCTGTCGTCCTGCTGCTGGTGATTGTTGTTGCGTGCGTCCAGGGAGGCCTGCAGAAAGGCCATGTCTTCTAGGTGCTGCTCGAGTGCAGCGCTGCCCGTGCTCTCCGCATCCGATGACCAATCGTCCTCCCCACTCAATTCGTCGGGGGCAACCACACACCCTCGCAGAGGCGGCGACGAGGAGCGGTGGTGGCGCTCTTGCTCGGGCACCTGCATAGCCATGGCAATGGGGTAGGTCAGTAAACAATTGCCAAGTTAGGCATGGGGCGAGAAACGCCCCAGAGTCGCCAGTGGCCCGATAATGTGAAATCGGCACCAAATGGAGAACACAAATTTTAGGTATGTTCAATACTTCATTACTGTTGAGTGTGACAGCCTTGTTGCAGAAAGGGTAACACATTCAATATTGATATGAGAGGCACTCTTAAAATAGAAAACAGTTTTGGTGAGGACAGGAGAAAGATTACAATACAGTCGAACCCATTTATAATTAACTCAAAAGTGCAGCAATAAGAGGTCGTTATCACTAATCGCCTGGTTTCCATGGTGCACAGTTACGGAAAGGCAGGAAAACTTTCGTGGCATATTGTGGTGTGGGCGCGCCGAGCATGCACACCATATTTTTTTGCGATAAAATGTTATCGCCTCTCAAATTTATGGCTTCTTGGGGTTGAAAGCGTTGGTTAATCGTTGGTGGTCGTAGATGTTGAAGACTGGCATCAGAAAGGTTCGCTGTGCAAAAGTTAACTGCAGTCTTCATGCTACCCCCTATTTTTTTTTCCTCACTTCTGTACTGCCGGTGAAAAGAAACTCCTAGAAAGTGAGCAACCTTGCTTGCAGCGTCCGAAATCTGCGTGTGGTGCTCGGCACGGTCTACGATATCTTTGTTGCAAGTAAACTGCAGCGGGGCATGCGCTAGCGCGCTCCTATCACATGCTTTAGAGTGTCCGTGCTAACATCTTTTTTTTTTTTTCCACTTAAAATGTGCCATATTTTTACCGTGACCGAGTCAGAAGTGGTTGTAAAAGCATGAGGTCTCGAAGAATGTTCACTGTATATGGACTCAGTTTCAGATGGTAGGATAAAAAAATCATAAGTGCACGGAAATATGGTCGTTACAACCGACTGATCGTTATATCTAGGAACGTTATAAGTGGGTTCGACTGTATGATATCATCTGGGGTTTACTGTTCCAAAACAACGACGTGATTAGGACACGCCACAGTGGACTGAAAATTTCAATCATCTGGTGTTCTTTAACATGCACTGACATCGCACAGTACATGGGCTGTATACCACTTCACCTTCCTAGAAATTCGACTACAGTCGAATCCCACTATAACCAAGTCTGCTACAATGAAATTGCCACCACAACGAATAATTCTCGATTCCTTGACAGCCGCCCATAGAAATCAGTGTGAAAAATGTCTCGTTATAACCAACACCTTTCCTAAATATTTCTACTTTAACGAAATTTTCGCGAGTACTACCCCACAAGAAAAAGGAACTTGCCTAGGATTGCCGCAAAACTCTACTATCTAAGCCATTTCTCGACGGCTCGTGACATCCAGAGGACATGACCGTATCTCAAAAACCGTGTATTCATCAGACCCACTTTCTGCCCCTACACACATCTCCCACTAAATTTATCGCCATTAAGATGCTTGGCGACAGCTCACCTATCCACCATGATGCTCCCGGTAGATTTGAAATACGTGTGCGCCGCAGCAGCATTGCGATCTTTTAAGAACCCCCTGCTCATTGTCACTAGCCATACGATCGTGAACGACAAACACGCGTCGTGAAGGTGCACACGTGAGCAGTGCGCACCTAGTCCCAGCGTAACTGCATTTTGCGGCAACCACTACGAACTCGAATGTGGTGAAGTTTTACGAAAGATCGACATGGGTTTGAAAGTTGATATTTTAGATTTGATTGAGTATTATATGTTTTGTGCACATGCCACCCAGTATCCTAAAAGTGAACATTGTTTAATTACATAATTTAGGAGCAAAAAAAAATATCGAACTTATTCTGTACGGAGGGATCAATTTTATACCTTGTCGTTCTCAAAGTTTAATGACAATAATAAAACACAAATATTAACAATAAGAAGAGGAGCTTTTTTTTTTTTAAAATGAATGTACGCGTAATAGAGAGTGAAGCACAATTGTTTGAAGTCTGTTGGCTGAAGCAAACTGTTTTTGAAAAGTCTGAGCAGGCGACATTTTTTAAAAATTGCTACCGTATTTACTCGCATAATCCTCGCACTTTTTTTTGGCGGAAAACCGATGCAAAGTTGGGAAGTGCGAGAATTACGCGGGGAAAACTTTCAGCAAAAGTACAGTGCAAAAAAGAAAACGAAATGGCCGCAAGTCAGGATTCTCACACCAGCAACTAACAGCAAGCTTTGAGAAATACTGATTAAAACTTACCTCAATATTAAAAGCACTGGTTCAAGACAAGGCAAGATTTATTTGAGACACTAAGAGTGCAAGCAAATAGTCGAGAATTAGAATACCATACGCAAAGCTTGTGGGTGTTGCCGGCGTAGCGGTAGTATTCGTCGCGCAACAGGAGCCCTCAAAAGGTAAGGGTAGGACGTCAGTATTGGGCTGATGACTATTTAAATAATCGGACGCAGTTTCCTTCTGAAGAAATAAAGTTTATGATCAATCCCAGTTTTAGGCACACGGCAGGCCTAACGCGTCTAGGTGGCTTTCAGCTACCGTCACCAGTAGCGAACACAAAACCCATACCCCCGTATTCAGAAACTGCTCCTCGACTCACATTTCTTCCTTCAGTTGACTGAGTTGAGCACTGTGCCGCTGCTCGACTGAAATTGACGCTGCGCTTCTCAAGAATCGCTGCAGAATATTGCCGATATGCAGTGACTTGGTCTGGCAAGAGACGGCGCTTCTATAGACTTTTTCAAGTCGAGGAGAGTCCTTGAGTGAAGGAGCGTTTGTGAATACGGCCGATAGACTCCGAAGGGCCTACCGGCGACCCTGTTGCCGCTGTTTAGTGCATCATCTATCACTTTCAACTTGAAAGCAGCCGTGTAGTTTCAGTATCGCCCCATAACGTGACAAGATTACCGACACAACATACAAAACACGCCGCAACGCGCACTTGTCACTTTGGCTTGGCTTGAATTGGATTGAATCTCTGTGCAGTAATAGTACGCTTGATGCTTAAGAGATAGCGCCAGATAACGCACGCTATTACCATCAGTAGCAGGAACGAGCAGACGACATTATTGCGGCAGTTTTTGGGGGTGCGATAATTACTCGAGGAAAAAAAAGAAATCGTATTCTTGTTTGGCGATATGGGGGGTGCGAGAATTATGCGAGTGCGAGGATTACGCAAGTAAATACAGTATATTTGAGTTTTTTTTTTTTTCTCCTAATGGTAACCAGCCATTGTTTCATAACTTAGTGACCTATTACAACAGCACAATTTTTACAATATTTCCTACCAATACTGTTGCTCTACTTTAAACAATTATTTTTATAAATTAGCTCAGGCTTAGAATTTGGCAACAATTAGGCCTATTGTAAAATTAAATAAAAAAAAACATCTTCAATTTTTCTTAATATCCCACAAATACCCTCACAGATCATATCAAATTAACATTAGGAAATGTGTTGCATTATTTTATTTGCAGCTGAGAATATTACGAGTATGAGTCTCAGCTCTATGAGGATGCACTTAGGCAATAAACACATGACAAACTGGCCTAAAAAGAAAGGTGAACTTGAGCTTCTGAGCCGTTTGAACATGACCATATTTACAGAAGAAAAGCAGTTTTGGCACTTTGAGGAATACATTTCCCACAGCTTCACCTTCCAACCCATGCTGCTGAGCTCTCTGTCCACCATTTAGTTATTCTTTACAAAATTTAGCTTGTTCAGTGTTTAACAACATTTCCTTAGTTGTTTCTTAAGCAACTCTCCTCGTTGCCTTCTTTTTCCAGTTCTCCTTCTGCAGCCTTTTTTTCCAATCATTCTGCACCTTGCTCAGGCTTGCCAGTGCTTGTATGCTTGAAACAAGCTATTACAGTTAAACCCGCTTATAACGAACCTCCATACAATGAATTCCTCGATACTACGAAGTTTTTAGATTTCCCACCCATGTGCCATAGAAGCACATGTACTTGCGACCTTTTTGCATCAAAGTAACAGCAGGAAACATCTTTGATATAACGATATTTCGCCACAGACGACTTAGAAATTTTGCCCTAAATTTTGCCAATTTGCCACAAGCATGCATCTTCCGTCGTTGTCCCGCCACTGCCGAAGCGAGCCAGTGACTCCCAGGTGAGAATCAGCGCTCGTTATTCCGTGTGGATGTGCCCGAGGCTAGCTGAAAGGGCTGCACCCCCCGTCTCTGAACTAACTTTAAGTGCCACCGGTGAAGCCACTTTCCATTGTTAAGCTTTTAGTTAGCGTGACACATATAGGACACATGGAGAGCACTTTGCCAAATACAGTCGAACTCAAAGGGCCTGAAAATTTGTTCAAATTGAAAGAAGTTCCAATTAAGGAAAACAAAATGCACGGAGGGCTCACTATACAGTGGCGCATGTGCATTGAGCTAACACAAAAGGAGTAAGTTTCAGAAGAAACATTTGTTCAAAAATTGAAGTAATTGGAGATGTGCATCTGCACACGTTTGCCTTGCACCGAGTCAATCAATTTCGCACGCAGTTTGCAAAGCATGTCTACTTCAGCTTCAAGATTCTCCTGGCAAGATAAATTGCATGCGGCCATGTCCAGCACCAACACTCTTTAAAGACAACGGCAACGGCTGTGTCTCTGCTGCTACCCTCTGCACCGCAGCCGCAGCGTGGCCAGCACATGATGAGAAAGAAGGAGCGTCTCCACGAGGAGAGAAGCAGATGGGCATTTGAGAGAGAGCCAACACTTCGCGGCATCTTTTTTCTTTCTCTCTCTCTCTCTCTCTTCAAGCATGGCGTTAAAAGGAGACGGGTCTCTAAGTGGCAGGGACGGGAAAGAGAGATCCGAGCCACAGGCGCGTCGCAGATCGGCATTTGAGAAAAAGCAAACATTCTGCTGCAGCCTTTTCTTTCCTTTTCTTCTTTTCCTTCTTCGTGTGCAGCGTTGAGGCGTCAGAGGTGCCGCCCCAGGATTGGGCGTGGTACGGAGAACATTTTCGGAGCGCGGTATGTTCGAATTAACCGTCGCAAGTGCTTGCGGCTTCGAATTACAGGGCGTTTTCGCCCATTGGAATACACATAGTTTTGACAGGATGACAGCATGAGTTCAAATTAAATGGAAATTCGAATTAAGCGTGTTTGAATTAAGAGATTCCGTCGTAGTTCTCCGCGGTATCCACGTAGTTTACTTTTCGTTTTCAATGCCGTGCGTGCATGCATGGTTTCACCAGGCACACATGGAGTGACCTCACCAGATGACGTTCAGCTTTGCTTTCTTTTTCAACATGAAAGAGTATTATCCCGGGGTCAATCACAGCTCCCCTGACGTACTTCCGTCAAGGCAGTGAGGTTGAAAAATATACTAAGAGATTGTAAAGAAAAAAAGCCAGACAACAAGCACATGTTGCGCGGAACCGAACCAGCAACCTATGAATTTTAAGCTCATGATGTTAACCACTACATCACGAAGCATACTTTTTCTGGAATGCTAGCAACAAGCCATTTATATATATACACCATGCACTGTTTGGCATTCCTCAGACCTTTCAAACTTGAGCGCGTTTTTGTTATCAGTGGCGAGATGGCGCAACGGGATTGTGTTGGGCGCACTAGCTGCCTCCACAGAGTGCGGTCTCTCCTGCACACGTGCTTATCAGACTCGCAATTGAAGAGAGGACGAAGGTCGCTTTGCACGCGGTTGTAGCCATGTTTACAAAAAAGCAGGCTGCTGACTTCCGACGCACGAAGAATAGTGACAGTTGTTCGTGCTTGTCCTGTGAATAAATGTGCGCTCGTTTCGTGCATCTTTCTTTCTGTTTGAACAACGCGCTTCAGATGTCGAGCTGTAAGAGTTGTTAGTCTGTGCTTGTCCTGTGTATGCTAATTTTGAGCGTGCTTTCTGCCAGAGGTGCGTGCTGCAAGTTTCGAGCTGCCTGCCATTCTTAACTTCGTGACTTCTTCGTGACTTTGCGATTTCTTGCTGCTGCTGGAACAACGCACAATAAATGCTCAACTATTCTGTAAAGACAAGTGCGTTTCACTTTCATGTTATACTGATTGCTACATAAGGTAATCAGCCCCATTATTTTTCTTTTTTTAAGTGTGGACAACCGTGTCGTTATTTCCAAGGAGATGTCAGATTAGGTGCTGATGGACACTCCTTGACCTCGGTGACAAAGATGGATCTCAAAAAGGTTGACTCGTCACATACTCTGCCATCCTGCGCCGCACCGTATATTCGCGAGACCGTAGCCTTCGCGATTAGCTGATTAGCTCTGGCAAAACAACAGTGCATTGAATGCAATAGAATGAATGCTACAGCAACAAACTGTAATGCTATACAGTATTGACCACTTATAACATAAGTCGCGGGAGTCAGAAATATTCACACTATAAGCAGTAATGCATTATAACTAAAACAGTCTCTTCAAGCGCCGCACTCGCGCCAAACGTGTTTAGCATGCAGCCTCGCGGGCCTAAGAATCGAAGCATGCAACACATGGTGCTTACAACCATTTGAATTTCATAGTGTGAAAAAAAATTAACGTCGAAAGGCTTGCGTTGCACGAAATTAACACAAAAAAGGGAGGGGGGCGGTCAGACAAAAAAAAGCACCATCACGAAAATTGGCTGACTACTTCTCAGACCACCTCAATTATGTGCACTATACAGAAACCATGTCCAATTTTCTCTAGAATTTCCTGCGGTGAAAGACGCCAATTGCTCTATTTCACAAGCGCGCACCCAATTTCAAAACATCGCAGTCGAATCGCAAATCACCATCCGAGCGCTATTTGATTGATTTGTAAGGTTTAACGTCCCAAAACCACCATATGATTATGAGAGACGCCGTAGTGGAGGGCTCCGGAACGTTTGACCACCTGGGGTTCTTTAACGTGCACCCAAATCTGAGTACATGGGCCTACAACATTTCCGCCTCCATCGGAAATGCAGCCGGGAATCCGAGCGCTACACGTGCCACCCTCGCTTTTATTAACGATGTGTATCCCATCCCGTCAAGTGCAGCCACCGGAAAGAGTTCTGAGGTTTCGTACCACACTGCAACTTAGCACGCAATCACTACCGAAACACAACCAACTCAGACTTGGCCTAACCCGTCGTTAGGTATGTTGTCACAGGAAGTTTGTTGGTCCAAGACATGGATATCCGATGTCGAAAAGATCGCATCAAGCACTGAACCAAGAACAGCGTGTCTGTTACGAAGTTTGCGTTTGCGAACAGGAGATCAACAACGACGAAAAATCACCAGTCATACGTGTGACAGCACACCCGCAGCAAAGGCAAAAAAGCTCACTTAGTAAACGCGATATCTGTTTCAAGCTCGATAACGACGACACCTTTCCCGACAGTAAACTGTTAAGTACTGTTGATAAGGACAGGATCGCAGGATCCATGTTGAGCCGCGCGCGACTGGAGCCCCGCGAACGATGGCATTATCGGCGCCAGTGCAAAGGCATATCGTCGCCGAGGCAACTGCCCTCCTACTCGCTGAGCCCGCGCAGCGTGGTGCCCAGCTTTTTTTTTTTCCATTTCTTTTTCTTCTTTCCACACTTCGTTCATTCACTTCACGTCCTATCCTCCTTTGTAACGACCTTGTCGCTCACTCCCCCAGAGGCACACCCAGGGCGCTACCGTCAGGACACTCACTCCCTACTGCCTTTGTCACAATGATTTTCCAGCAACCGCATTATAACCGGTCTTTCACCTTGGGGGACAGCACAATATGTAAGCGGTATGCGAATACATGGGGTTCTATAGGAACGGGAGTCGAAAAAGACAAAATCGTAACGGGTTCTGCATTATAAGCTGTCACATTATAAGTGGTCTACACTGTACAAAGTAAGGCCAGCAGCCAAGTTCGTTGGATCTGATATCGCGGAACTCTTACAGAACGCTGGTGAAAGCAAATACAGCCTCTTCAGGAAGAAGTGCTTTTTTCACAGTCTCTTCGCATTGAAAGAGGACTGATGCTTGCCAAGCTAACACGTGTGCCAGCAATCCCGACCACATGCTTAAGATCAAAGTTAACCCGTGATACTCAAGCGACTACCTCCCCCCCATTTTTTATGCTCATTGAAAGGGATGAGGGTATTAAAGAAAAGGATATTTATTATCCTACTGTAATTAAAATTACCATGTATGTGTACCACTGATTGGCGATTTCAAATCTGCAAACAGATTTCAAATATCTCATTTAGAAAAAATGTAAAGAGAAAGTTTCACATTAAAAGTGGTTAATTTGTTACGGGTTGTTGTGGTAACTCGCAATAAAAAGTTGGTTTTCGAGAGTACAGGTTTCCACTAAAACGTTCATCCCACAAGCTAAAGCAAGCAAGATGTAAAAACGACTATTTCTTTGATCAGAAATATTTTTTAAACTTGGAAGGTAAAAATGAGCTTCCAGTAATTAGCTGGTATTTATCATAAATTTACAATTCTATCAAAGTTGGGAAAAAAAGAAAAGCTTTAGCCTGTAGGTCAAGTGCTTCGGAAAGGAATGGTATCAGGTTTGTTTAGATAACTCCACAAGAACTTGCTCAAGACTTCCGTAAGACAGATTCACTTCACAAAAATAACAATGCCAGAAAAATCACGTTTTCAATTTTAAAAACATTTGTCATTTCATATATTAAGTTTCTAACAAGAATAAATGGTATTTTTCCATAATATAAAATTTTCCCAAAACATACTTTCAACTAGAAATATCCCAAGTTGCAATTTTTGAAAGCCAGCATTTTTTGCAATCTTGTGCTATTTTAGGACCCCCGTCCCCCTTTAAGACAGCTGGTTTTCTTTTTGCTTGAGCATTCGACGGCAGTTCTAGTAAGGGGGGGGGGGGGGGTGTTATTATATTTTGCCCTCCAGGCAATAGAGATGGGCCGACTTCTTTGATCTCTGCTTCAGGAGCACTCTTGTGCTTTTAACCGTTCGCAAATGCGTGGGCACACGTTATCAATTTGTACTGGTTACGGATCACGGCGGCAACAACAAAAACTCATTGCGAATGTCCATATAATCGCTATTGCAATATTAACACAGTTTATTAGCACTTAAAAAAGTGTTTTGAGTGAGCTCCGTCTTCAGTACTCTTTTTGTTTAATTAAGCGTTTAAATTTAGAATTTTTGTACTGAACCTGCATATAACAAAATATTCTATACAACGATTTCTTTCGGGGGTTTGTCTATTTCGTTAAATCCACGTTGAACAATAGAACACAACCCTGGAGCAGACAAAAAAAAAAAAACATTTACCTCGAGCAGTTCCTCGGGCGAGAAGACCATGATGGAGCCCAGGTCCTCGGTCTCGGCCCAGGGGTCTGCCGTAACGTCCTCGCGCTCTCTTCCCCGATCCGGCTGGGGCTCGCATCCCAGCTGCGAAGGGGCTGGCGCCAGCTGCCTGTCTCTACCCAGAGTCGTGGCGACCACTGCAGAAGGAAGAGGCGCCAGTGATGCTTCCAGCGAGCACGGCATGGGCAGGCGGCCTGGACGGGAGCCTCCAGACTTCCTGTTGCTTCTGCCGTTGCGTCGTTGTTTCTGCACATACTCCTGCACCTGTCCCATGAAAAGGGACAGCAATAATTTCTTTTTAACCTCGGTTTCAAGATAATGTAGTCACTGTATCAGCATTGTGGTCCCCGTAACATACAAAATGATCGAATTACCAGGAAATTAAATTAAGCGTGAGGCACAGAAAAATAACTAAGCATGAGGATTATTTATTTGGCAGTATTCGCCGCAGTTTTAGCACTTTCACAACTGCAACAATTAGTGACAAAGATTAGCCGTGGCGCGACTAGCACCAGTGGCCAGCAGAGCTGCAGGCGCTTAGCAAACCATTGTAAAGCTAAGCAAAGAAAAATCAACCTTTAAGCAAAGACACATGTAACTTTTAGCACCTAACTGCTGGTGTGAGTCATTTCTTAGGGCCTGCCTTCAGAGCATAACTATCCAGCTGCCGCTCACTCGCTTAGTCGTTCCCGCCACAGAGCGTCCACACGCTCACACCATCCGCTCACTACCCTAGCAGCTTCATGAGAGCCAGCAGCGAACTCGGGTTCCGAAATCAAATTGCTACCTCATCAAGAAAAGGTACTTTTTTTTCTTTTGATCTCTTTTCCTATTCCTTTCAATATACTACATCTTCCTCTAATTCTTACAGTCTCTCTTTCACTTTCATTTTTTTTTTGTCTCGCTTATAGCAAGTCTCTTATAGAATGCATACAATAATGCAATCATATGCTTCCCATTAAAAAGTCATGACATGGTTAGCCAACAATTGACGATTTTCATTGAAAAATAAAGGTAGAGCGCCAAGTATCTTTGTACACGAGTGAAAACTAAACTGTAGGAGATTATTCGAGTCCAAACAAGATGCCAAAGTCATTGGCTGCAAGCTCCGCCAACCGTTGGCGACCGCCGTTTACACTATAGACCGCTTATAACGTAAATCGCGTGAGTCCCGAAAATTCGCACTACAAGCGGTACCGCACTATAACCAAAACAACCTTTTTCAAGGGCCGCACTTGTGCAAAACTTGTTCAGCATGCAGCTTCACGTGTTCAAGAATTGAAACATGCGATGCGTGCTTGCTAACATTTAAATTTCTGGACATTAAAAGAATTTAACGTCCACAGACACACGTTGCCAATGAAATGAACGCGAAAGAGGGAGGGGGGAACGTCTAACAAATGAAAGCACCATCGCGCAAACTCGCCGACTACTAGACCGCCTCGATTATGCGCATTACGCAGAAACTATGTAGAATCACGTGAAAAATTTGATGCGTTGAAAGACCCCAACCATTCGATTTCACGGGCACACAGCAGATTTAGGACATCGCAATCGAATCGCGAACCACTGTTTGAGCACTACACGTGCCGCCCTCATTTTCATTTAGCGATTTGTATGTCTTCCCGTCACGTGCGGCCACCGCAAAGAGTTTCGTTGATTCAGTACCAAACCGCAACTTAGATTCTCACGACCGCTACTGATCGAAGCGCAACCAACACCGATTAGGCCTAGATTGCGTTTGGTACGTTGTCACGGAAATTGAACCACATGCATGATACGAAGTTCGCGTTCACGGCCGAGAAAATAGCAACGACAGTGGACAACTTGCCAAGCTTATGTACGACAGCGCACTGGCAGCAAAAGTGAAAGCTCGCGTCATAAAACCGTAAAAGATTTTCAATTTAGGGACACGGAAGCAAACGCGATGTTTGTTGCAAGCGCGATAACGACGACGTCTACCCCGACAGGAAACTGTTAAGCGCATGTAGCTGATAAGGTCAAGATCGCATGCGCCATGTTGAGCGGCCCGAAGCCACGCTAGCAACGTAGCCCACTGTAGTTGCACAGTCCCCGAGACTACCGTCCTCCTCCCTTACTTGGCGAGCCCGCGCAGTGTTCCGCGGTCTTTTTTTTTTTTCTTTTTTCCCTTTTCTAGTTTTTCCGTCCGCTCTTCGCTTGTTCACTCTGTGTCCCTTCCTCCTCCGTAATGACCTCGTCGTTCGCTCCCCAGCGGAGCGAGCACCCAGCACTACTTAGTACCGGGTTCGTCACAAACGATTTCCGGCAACCACATTATAACAGGTCTTTCATCTTGGGGGACTGTACAATAAGCGGTATGCGTATACATAGGATTCTAGGGAGGATAAAAGGGAGTAGAAAAAGACCGCATCGTAAGCGGCTCTGCACTATAAGCGGGTAAGTTATAAGAAGTCTACACTGTAGTAACAGCGTGCGTGACGTCACATGCCGTAAAGAGCAGTGCCGCTGTCTGCTACCAAACAGCACCTATCCCATCCAGTCAGTGTGTTGCATGTGTTGCGGCATGTTACCAGTAACATCGCCATGTTGTCGACTTTATCATCACCTCATGATTGGGGCAGTGGTTCATCAAGCAGCAGAAGGGGCGATGACGTCGTGTACAATGCACATTTTGACTTCAACCCCATCGCCGCCAGCTCAAGCGACAAAGAAAGCGTCGAAGACAGGGCAAATTTAAATGCCAACTGTTTTGGTGTTGTGGCAGATGTTGCAGACAGCCTTCAGCAAGGATAACTAGCTTTATTTCAAGCGAGCCAGGTTGACAAGTGAGCTTGGAATATAATAGTATGTCGGCGCCACCTTTGTGAGCAAGTGTTACTTTGCGCAGTGGAATTAGTAAAGCGTGCAGATTTTTGTTTGCTAGCATACGTGCATGCACGCTCTTGGTGATGGACATAATAAATAAGTCGTCGTAACAATGCTGCATGTTAGAACCGTTGCTTTTCCATCGGCTGTTGCGTGTGGCACATGTAAATACATGCCGAAGCGAGCGGCATGTTAGTGCAGCGTTAGGGTTATCAAGCCGAATCTTTGCTTGAACTCTCCTGATTGCATTCGATTCCGGTAAGAAAAACGTAGCAAGTGCGACGCTTAACCATGGCTCTGCCTGCGAAGAGTTTCAATAAATATTGATCCGTAGTGGCAAATGGCATATGCATAGCACATTCACAGGACACTTTTTGACCTCAGATAGACTGACAAAAATTTTTTGCTTCAAGTACCAGCACTACATGGGCGACGCGGTTGCATTGCTTCAATTCAACCCCTGCAAGTCATTGGTTCTAGCGGCATGTTGAAAAACACAGAAAAAGCTCGATTGCAAGCACAGCTGACCACGGAACACGATCGTCCTCGAGAATGCAAACCGTGCAGCAGCTCGCACAGCAAGTAGCTCATTACGTCACGGCTAGTGAGCGTGCCAGTGTTGCCCGGCTCTCAAGCCATTCGCTAGTTCAGTGGTTTTTAAATGTGAATCCACGGATCCTAGGGGGTCTGCGAAGTCATTTCTATCATGCGCGAAACCTCACCCACCTTAAAAAAAATTGTGCTTAAACTCTGTAGTGTGCGACGTATTGAACTGTCCAAAATGAAGTGATGTGGCACGTTTGTTTGATGTTTTAGAAGCAATGAAAGGCACCTGTTTCACGCTCCAGTTGTGTTGAATTATCTACGTACCCCCCTCAATTCTCTCTCATCTCCACTGCAAGGGGCCCCCCATCACTTCCACCAGTCCACATGGGGTCCCCTACACATCCATGGCTGAGAAACACTGCGCTAGTTGATAAAAAATATCTGACTATGAATTCACGGCATGACCAAATGTGCTAAAACTTCGCCAGCTTGTCTGAACGTAAAAGGGTCAACCCACACAACACAGATTATGGCCGAAAATTGGGTCTCATGACCCTTTTAATGCATGTTCTGCAAGCCTAGTGGTTGTCCTATGGACAATGGGCACTGGTTTCAAAAACTGCCTTGCCAAAAAAGTAATTTATTTTGCTTTCATTTCTTCTCTCTCCTTCCTCTCCACTTCGCCAAGCAGAATGATGACCAAACCAGCTTGATTTCCACTGCACGAGTCTCAGAAGTTCTTAGTGAGACAACCTTCAGCAGTGAGCACAGAAGGAAAAAAGAAGCACATCTCAAGCAATCATGAACATCGAAGATTCCTTACAGCCACTACCGATTACCACAACACACTGTGTGAGCAGCCGTGCAAGTTCTCAGTTGTGCAGAGAGCCAGCAAAGCCGCCACCACCAAGACAAGAGAAGACCCATGCTGTCGTTTTACTAGGCTACACAGGAACCAACATTAAATAGAAAGTTTTGAGGACTTTTAGACACGCAAAACGTCATGGTGACAAACCACTCGTGGCGGTTTTGTTCAAACCTTTAATTACTAATACCCTAAGCAACTTATTACCACTAAATTAAATTAGTGGTAATTTGAAACAGTCATCGAACTGTCCTAAAATATTGATCTTGCCATTATTTTCATTTCTTTTCTTTAGAAAATTAAGAATTTCTCAAATTATTCCAAGCGAAAGCACACTCTGCAGGTTGCAAGCAGATTCAGAGCAGTGAACATGAACCACTCCCTCACCTGGCCAAGCAGCCGCTCGATGCCAAGCACCTCGATGGTGTCCGAGGGCCGCAGAGCGCCGGGGGTCGGAGAGGAGCCATCCCAGGAGGCTGCCAGAGGCGCTGAAGATTCGAGCAGCTCGTCCCCGTCCACAAAGTCCTCCTGCCGAACAAGACCAAATGATGAAAAATCGTCGCACACGGAATGCCACAGTTTTGGCATGTGGAAGACCTCTCTTTCAGAAGTAATCTGCTATACAGCCCACATTTGCTTGGGATCAGAATACTTTCAGTGTAGTTAACCCAGTGAGGTTTGCCGAGAGTAAGCCCTTACTTACAGAAATAAATAAAGACAATGAAGTAAAATAACCATAAAGACTGAAGCTTCCTGCCAATAATGCCAGGCAAAAGATCGTACAATAACATCTTGGTAGAACGAACTCCATATTAACAAACTTTTCAAATTAACAAACTTTTAAAAAATCCCACACCAACTGCTAATAGTTTCAATAAAAAATTATTTCACTACTAGGAACTTCAGAATACCGAACTTTTCAGAATAACAAGCATTAATTTAGTTCCATGTTATAATAACTATGCCTCAGTACTACAAACTCATGTTCTGAAATCGGTCGCGACCACCAGAGCAGTACGCAAGCAGACGACAAAGCGAAAGGACACCTTGCTTCTCGGAAGACGCGCGACGGTGCGGAGAGAAAAGAAAACGAAAGGGCAACTTTCTTCTCTTTCTTTTTTTTTTTTGAAACGCTGACGCTGCAGGTTTACAAGCACAGAGGCGAGGGGCAAGGGCAACATGGGAGGGCAAGGTCAGCGAGGCAGAGTGGGAGTTGCGGAGCAGGAAGCGTGGACGTGGAAAACCTTAGACAGCGAGGGAGCAGGAAACAGAACGCGAGGAATGTCTTTTTTAGCACTTTTTTTTTCTTCGGAAGAGGCGTTGACAGCCACGCTTTAGGTTTTTTTTTGTCACCTCTACATGTGCTCTGAGAGGCTTTGTTTTTCAGTTGTGTTCATCTCTTTTGGGTGATTGCTTTTCTCGTTGGCAAAGCAAGTCGGCGTTCACGCTGCGGTGCTACTACGGATGGGTTCATCTCTGCTTGCGACGAAGAAGTGGAAGCAGTTTTCGCTAAGCGAGAGAAAGTAGATATTCTCCGGAACTGGAAGGCAAAAAGCAGGCTGTTGTGACCAAAGAACCAAATCCCACCACAGGAATGTGAATGAGCTCGAGGCCTTCGCGCTGCAAAGTTTGTGCTACACACATAAAAAAAAAAAGAAAATCAAATTTTTTTAAAAGTAAAGTGCATTTTTTGGTGTTCACTCGTGAATTAGGTTTTTCTTGTGAAAAACGAGTTTAAAGACCCGTCGTTGTAAGGGTAAGTCATTTTGATAGGTGGAAAATAAGTATTCAATGTTAATTTTTGGGCTTTCACTATAAGGACCTTTCAAAATAATGAACAAATTATTGCGGCCCCCTGAAATTCGTTATACCGAGATTTCACTGTATTTAAAAGCAGAATGCAGTGCCTTTGCGTTCCACTGAACGTTTCAGAGCAGTGCACAGACACTGATGCCTTAAAAACTATGTTCAGGGGAGTTCTGGGTTGAAAAACGCGAGTTTTTTTTTTTTTTTTTTTCAGTACTCATAGCTTTCCCCGGTTTTGTTGAGATTAGTACCTCTACTGTTCCGAAAATAAAAATCAATCAAGATGCAACTGAAAATGCGTGGCTATTAAACAACTAAATGTATGCCGTCTTCTAAGCCTTTTGTGGCTGATAATGCGCTGCCGGTCAACATTGCAGATCCCATGATGAGATCAGCCAAGCTTCATTTTTCTAATGACCACGGTTTCCTGCACACAGCTAAATCAAAGTACACAAACCGCCAGCATTTTGCCTTCTTTGAAATACGGCTGCAGCATGAAATTCAATTCTGCAAACTACGGATCATCAGTTGAGCCCCGTAACTACTGTACGACTAAGGCGAGTAGCATGCAAGCAGAGCTGGGGACCTGTGCAAAAGGGGCCCCTCTGCCATGTCACAAGTGCGCCAACAGAGGTGACAATGTCTTGCCATATTCTGAAAGCTAATGCAAAAGAAGTTCAGATGCACCGAGAAAATACCCACCTCCAGGAGTGGGTCGCTGGGCTGCTCTTCCAACTTCTCGTCCTCTTCGACTGGGGAGTCGATAGAGCTGTTGTTGCTGAGGAGGACGTCGTGGATGCTCTGGCCAGTCTTCTTCTCCCACAGGTGTATCCGGTCCCAAAGAATCTGCACAAGAGATCTTCCCTCAGAGAAATTGCCAACACTTCCCAAACAAGGAACACACTCAAGGCAGCACTCTGAAATGCTGGCACAGAAGGAGCAGAGTTATTTACACTCAAAATGCTAATTTTCCATTCAAATGTAGACTTACAATAATTCAAGTAAATACCTCATACTTTCAGTTCATTCAAATGAATTTGAAACTTTCAGAAAACTCGAAGTTTTTCATCTACTACATTAAAAGATGCATAGCTGAAATAGTTGATTCTGTAAAAATTCATAAGAGTGGCAAGCTGGGCTAATTGGTGTGGATGGATAGTAATGAGCAGCATGAAATAAAATGCTGACTCAGAAACAAAACATTTATTGAGCGAAACCACGCCTAAATACAAGTTACAAAACTTGCAAAGCTTGACAAAAGAAGTCAGGTATCTCAGCTTACAAAGATAGTTAACGCTTAGTTTGTTTTGTGAACATGTAACCATTGCAAAAGTGGTTTTATTGTGGCATAAGGTGCTATGCGTGAAACCACCCTGGCAAAAAAAATATTCACACTGCTGCAATATTAATGATAACTAATAGAAAATAATGCCAAGGAAAGCAGAGCAGACATTATTAGTAGCGATTATAATGTATATGTGACAAAAGAAAAGTGGACAAAAAGGTAACTTGCCATTGGCTGGTTCCGAACCTGCGACGTTCCAATAATTCGTTTGATGCTCTGCCAATTGAGCTACAGGGTTGGTAAATTTTGCGTGCGCTGTATGGGGCGTATATCTGCATTTAGACCTGGAAGTGTTATTCAGCAAAGCTAGTAGCCATGACAGTGAATGTTGCGCACTTGCCGTCACGATGGGCATGTGTTGTCAGCTTTAAGACAGGCATAGCAAATAAAGAACCTCATGCGGCACGTCATGCGGCCTTAAACGGTCCGATTCAGTGCAAACAGGTGGACGAGTCAACTTTGAACCAGTAGGCGCAAGGCGTACTTGAATGTGCTCAACAAGGCAGCGGATAATGGGACTGTAGCAAAACGGCACAATTGAGGCAGATGGACCACCATTGAATTGTTTGAAAAAAGACTGGTTGCAGAGAAGGTGAGGAAGCAGGTGGGGACAGCTGCAATGTCTCAGCAAAAATGTGCATGTCCGTATTGTCAAAAGAACAGTGTCGAAGACCAACTAATCGAGAAGCTGATCACTAACAGAACATCTCAGGGTGTCTTGATTTTACAGAACTCTTGTCACATTTCACTGCCAAACACAACATTCAGGAGCCCCATCCACTGTGTCTTAGCATCCAGCGGCTGCTCATAGGAAAACACGCTGAGGAGAGGAAACCTGCCTTCCACTCTTCTTGTGGCTTGATCTTCACGGCCACAAGGTCCCCATTGAGGGCCCTGTTCCGGTCATGTAGACCGCCAATATAGATGTCCATCTGACTGTCCTGCAATACAAAAAAAAAAACAAAACAATAGCCAGTTCAAAAGGTAGGAACAAGAGGGATACATATGTCACTGTCGAGAGTGCTTAATTAACCCATGTCTACGCCAAAGGCACTTCTGCAAGAAATGATGGTGTGAACGCGTGTGTGAGGCAATAAGTTCACATATACGCAAATTTATCCAGCTCTCCCACGGCCAGAAAGTTGGATAGTGTGGGAGTGTGCCATATGGTGAAACAGGTGGATACTAGTGACTGAATTTCACTTTCCCTGAAGGTGTCGATATGGCTTCAGAAAAGAAATGCCCAGATTACCAACAACTGGCAGTTTCACATAAATTCAAGCATGTTAAGTTATCCAACTGTTGTTGGTAACCTTCGATGCAACACAAGTGCACATTTACAAAAACAATGCAACTGCATTTTTGCAAAAGAGCTGTTGAGATTAAAAAAGAAACAACACATGCACAAACTAGCCTAGCTCAGCTCAATGACAGGCTCTGTAAGACACCAGCAGTGCCAAGAAGCTGCTGCAGCTCAGTTTGAGATCAGCTTGCCACAGGTGCAGGCCCATAGCCAGAAAGGGTTTCTAAGACCCCCCCCCCCCCCCCTCAAAATCTAAAGGAGGGGGTGTTCTGCCAAGAACCAATGATGGAAACAAGTGCTTTTCAAGGCCTTCAACATGTGGGCCCCCTCCAAAAAAATTTCCTGGTTATGAGCCTGCACAGGTGTAATGCGCATCCTTATAAGTGCATGTATGCATGTTTCACTGCTGACAAATCGGGGTCGTAGTTCTGACATCCTAAACAATTACACTTTCGAAGAGGCCATCTGTGAACTATGGAAGTGTAGTGAAAAGGAATGCTCACTACTAAAGCGACATCGACACGTTGGGGCGAGGCACGAGCTAAGACTGCCTAGTTGCTGCTGCGACGCTGCCCGTACACCCGGCCAGCTCTAAAGGCATTTCCGACGGCGCCTTTCAAATGCTGCTCTCGAAGAACCCTGTCACCGTCTCTGAGCTCATCGAGTTGTGTCAGAGTTTCGACGAGCTCCGACGACAGCGTCTTCTCACGCGACGCCCTAAGGTCGCGGATGACACCCAATCAAGCCTAACCACCACCTCTGACCTTGAGTCCCTGCTATCGCAGATCAAGGAGTTTGTTCGTGCTGAAGTCGCTCGTCAGCTATCGCTCCTATGGACAGTTGGCCAACCACAGTCACCTCTTTCAGCAAACCTTCGCCAGGCCATCCAGGAGCAAGTTGGCGCGGCTCTGCCATCTGCCCGTGACACTTCACCGTTGCCGACCCCCGTTGCCTGTGCCGAGGTAAATGCATCTCTAAGCTATGCTGAAGTGGCCGCTCGACCACCTCCTCAGACTTTTACCTCACTGCCATCAGCCGTGCCACCGCGACTTACTACTCCTCGGTTCCCTCAGCCAAGGTCCCCCCTGAGTAGTGGACAATGGCGTACAGTCGACAATCAGCCCATATGCTTTGCCTGTGGCCTACCTGGCCACATAGCGCGATACTGCCATCGACGCGTCCCTGTCTACCACCAGAGCTACCACCAGAGCTTCGAACCTGCCTCTTATGTGCCACCGCGCCCTTCAATCACAGGATCTCAGCCTCCTGACCAGACGTCATCATACGCCGACCACCGCCCTCCTGTTAACCGTCGCTCGCCATCCCCTCGACGCCGCTCGCCATCCCCGATGCGTCGTCGTCCTTCATCGCTGGAGCGGGAAAACTGATTGCCGCAGTTCCAGAAGCAGGAACTGCGTCGCCCGCGAAAAGACCAAGGCCTCTCTGTTCCCCAATGAATGTTCTCGACGTATATGTGGACGGCGTCGCTGCACTCGCTCTTGTCGACACTGGTGCCGCAGTTTCAGTGATCAGTGCTACTCTGCTGCTTGCTCAAAAAGCTATGACGCCAGTAGCAAGTATATCACTTCGTACAGCCAGCGCAGAGCACATAACGCCAGCCGCTGCCTGTACTGCTCGCATCGCGATTGATGGCCTCATCTATGTCATCGAATTACTAGTTTCAGATTCCTGCTCCCATGACCTCATTTTGGGTTGGGACTTTCTCTGCGCTAATAAGGCCGTCATCGACTGCTCTCGCGCTGAGGTAGAATTTGAAGTGTTTGGCGACGCTCCGTTAAATGATGCTCTTGAAACCGTGGACAAAGTATTTGTTGCTGAAGACGTCATCATACCGCCACACTCTTTCGCCCTTACCATGGTATCTTGCAACTCGCTCGCCGAGTCGAGTGCCCTTTTCACGCCATCCGCCCTTTTCGTTCGCCGCAAGTGTTCACCGCTACCTTATTCCCTTCTAGAACTTCATGACGGCGTCAGCAGACTGCTCATCTCGAACCTCTTGTCATGTCCTGTAACACTACTTCGGGGTGAGTGCGTCGGGTGGGTTTACAGTCTCGACCCTTCTGCAATTTTTGACATGTCGACTGGACTTTCCGCCAAACACGAAGTTGCCGGAATGATTCGTGCCTCTTCGCCGCAGACTACTAGGCCTGACGTACTCAGCAGCTCCATCGCCGACACGTTAACCATTTCGCAACGTGTTCAGCTTCTACGACTGTCGGAGAAGTTCCGTTCTTCCTCTGACTGCCAGCATACTCCCCTCGGCCGCACATCCACTGTGTGTCACCGCATGAATACAGGTACCAATGCGCCATTGCGTCAAAGACCTTATCGCGTGTCCGCAGCCGAGCGCCGGGTTATCGATGACCAAGTAGCTGACATGCTCAAGCGTGGCGTCATCCAGCCTTCGAATAGGCCTTGGGCATCTCCAGTCGTTCTTGTTAAGAAGAAGGATGGGTCAATTCGCTTCTGTGTTGACTACCGTCGTCTTAACAAAATAACTCGAAAAGACGTTTATCCCTTACCGAGAATTGACGATGCCCTTGACTGCCTCCAAGGTGCGGAGTACTTCTCTTGTATTGACCTACAGAGTGGCTACTGGCAAGTTCCTCTGGCACCCGAAGATCAGCCTAAGACGGCCTTTGTCACACCTGATGGCCTTTACGAATTCTGTATCATGCCTTTTCGTATTTGCAACGCACCCGCAACATTTGAGCGGATGATGGATAATCTTTTGCGTGGCCTGAAGTGGAAAACATGCTTGTGCTTCTTGGATGACGTAGTTATATTTTCACCAGATTTTCCAACGCATCTTCGCAGGCTAGATGAAGTACTGCAGTGCCTAAGTGACGCCGGCCTTCAGCTCAACCTGAAGAAATGCCGCTTCGGCATTTCTTCAGGTTGAGCTGAAGCACAATTAAATCTGAACCGCTACTTCAGGTTCAGATTTATTTGTGCTTGCAGCAATATAACAACGAATAGACTAAACTTTTGCATTACTCATATTACATGAAGAAATGAAGTAACTATAACTTACACGAAAACTAAATGACGCAATAAGGCTACCACAACTAGTACGTATGATCGGAACTGACAGGCAGATCAAAATGCAATAAATATAAAGCTACACAGCTCATTTTCCCCCTTTCTAAATAAAAAGGCATTAAAGTGGTAACGTAACTGTCAAGCAGTTTGAAAGCTAAAACATTTTAGAAGTTTAATATAAAGCAGCTTGCTCCCATTATACGAGAACATCCTCAGAGCTTTGTAACCTACAGGACATACTATTATTTGACCAAGACACAGCTAAACACAACCCTACAGACACACAAGCCCTTGATACTTGAGATCTCTTGAGAGCCCTGCCAGCTAAAGCTGTTTGGCCTTCATTCAGTTATGGCACGGACAGACAAGAAAAAGTGCCCAATTTGTTATTATAAAAAGTGTGATTTCCGATTGGGTGACCCCAATGAAGCAACAGCTTTGAGTAAGATTCTGACAAGCACCAAAACAAGGAAGACCTGCTGCTCAGCTGACAGGAGGCAGATAAGTGCCAGGAGGTGCACCAAAGGGCATGTATCTTTTATGCTTGTCAGCTTAGCTTCCACTTAGATAACATTCCCAGCCTTTCTGCAGACTGTGCAGGCCAAGACGAAAGTAGTGCTTCCAGCCACCGTGGAATATCGTGGTAGAAGCAGAGACCACTTTACCATTGCAAGTACTTCAAAAGACCCACTTGTAATCAAAAGACCCACTTGTAATGCACTCTAACAGGCATTCTCTGGCAAGTGATGCATCTGGTATGCACAGTTTTAAGAAATAATGGTGACAGTAGATGGCCTTCAAAATAAAAATAAGCTCATAGGACCATGTACAAGTAGGGGCTTGCGACTATTCGAAATTTCAGATATTTTTCTAATAATGTTTGCTATTTAATTTGATTGACACCAGAATTTTAATAATCAAACTATTCAAACTTCCTAACAGTTAATACAGTCGACATCTAATTGGTAGTGGCCCTTTCAGATATTTCACTACGCTTCACCCCCCTCCACACACACACACACACTCATATTGCAGAAAGGCTGCCTTTCAGGCTCTGGTATGGTCGCAAATGTATTGATTCAAGGAAAAGCTGGTTCCCATATGGAGGTAATAAATGTGCCACAGTAGGGGCTCAATTAATGCTCTTTTAGACATGAAATTTGAGTCAGAAGTCCAAAAAATCGGACACAAAAAAATTTTAACATCCGAAATTTCAAACGTTCTTATATATATTGACATCTACGGGGCAGATTTGGAACTCCTGACTCAAAGCAAGCACACCCTCGTCCAGCCCATCAGCTGGGCTTTCACAGAAGTTGAAAGAGAGGATGGTAGGCCAAGGAAATAGAGTCCTTGCTTTTCATGCGTAAGGTGTAGTCAGCAGCACTTTGGGTGAACTAAATCAAGTACTGAAATACAATTCTGCCTTTGTATTGCCTCATTCTTGATAAGACAACAATGAAACAACACCCCACCAGCACTTTGTCAGCCTAGTTAAAACAAACACTTTCATGTTGCTATCTGATAAAAACTAACTGTGCTTAAGAATATTCGCCAACTTTTTTCTTTCTTTGC